CTGTCTTGGTTCATTCCACGGGTGTCTCTTCAAATTAATAAAGAGACTCGAGCAATCGTTTCTTCTCGTCTCTTAGATGTTTTGCTCGTACCTATTAAGACTACGTCTTTTTAAGTACTCTTTTCCAGATGTTACCTTTCTAATGACCCACGTGTCTTGCCATGTCAGCCACATAACTAATTCCACGTGTAATATTTATTTTCCCCAATACAGTTGGCACTCTATTTTAATTAGTTACCAACATGAACCGGAATTAAAGCTAGTGCAATATATTGCATATGAGAAAAAAATTTCAAAAAAACCCCTTAGTCCCAAATTCTTTGTCATTGTTCTCTTATTCAAAGTTAATTGATTCAACTTACAAACTAATTAGACATGAATTATTTCTTTGTTTTGTTAACAATTAAAATTGGAATTCAAAAATTAACTAAGAGTAATATCAAACGTATTTTTTTCTCATATAAAAAGGTGAATGAATACTAGGGTGTTCATCGGGTTGGTACGGTATAATATTTAGACATTCCGGTTCGGTATTTTCGATATTCGGTTTCTTAAAATGCTATACCAATACCGTACCTAATTATTTCGGTATGACTTCGCTTTTCTCCTTTTGATTTCGATTTATTCGGTATGATAACTTTGGTTTGTTCGGATTCGATATTAACTAGTGCATAACGCCATAGACTTTAATATTCTTAATTAACGTACTCACGAAGAATGGGTATTGTAGGTGGATTAAGGTAGAGGAGGTGAAAGGGGCGATGCGTAAGATGTGCAGGGACAGAGCGACGGGGCCTGATGGAATTCTGGAAAAGCGCAGGGTGAGCAGGCTTGGATTGGCTCACTGGGCTGTTTAATATTATTTTCAGGACGAAGAAGATGCCCGAAGAATGGAAGTGGAGTACGATGATTCCATTGTACAAGACAAGGGTGATATCCAAAATTATAACAATTATAGGGGTATCAAGTTGTTGAGTCACACTATGAAGGTTTGTGAGTGGGTGGTGGAGGCTAGGGTGAGGAGGTGTGTGTCTATTTCCGAGATATGTCGGGGCGTTCGACTACAGAGGCGATTCATCTGGTAAGGAAATTAGTGGAGCAGTACAGGAAGAGGAAGAAGGACTTGCATATGGTGTTCATTGACCTTGAGAAGCGTACTATAAAATTTCGAGGGAGGTTCTATTGAGGTGTTTGGAGGCTAGCGGCGTTCCGGTAGCGTATATTAGGGTGATTTAGGATATGTATGATGGTGCTAAGACTCGGATGAGTACTATGGGAGGTGACTCGGAGCATTTCCCTGTTGTGATGGGGCTGCACCAGGGATCGACTCTTAGACCATTTTTATTTGCGTTGGCGATGGATGTACTATCACGACATATCCAATGGGAGGTGCCTTGGTGCATGCTGTTTGCCGATGATATAGTGTTGATTGATGAGACACGAGGCGGAGTTAACGTGAAGCTGGAGGTGTGGAGAAAGACCTTGGAGTCTAAAGGTTTCAAGTTGAGCAGAACCAAAAAAGAATACTTGGATGCAAATTCAATAACGAGACCCATGAAACAGACGTAGATGTAAAGTTTGATGCTCAAGTTATCCCCAAAAGAGTTAGTTTCAAGTATCACGGGTGCATTATCCAAGGTAACGAAGAGATTGATGAAGATGTAGCACATCGTATCGGAGCGGGATGGATGAAATGGAGCGTCCTCGCTTCTGGTGTTTTATGTGATAAGAATGTGCTGCCAAGACTTAATGGCAAGTTTTATAGAGTGGTGGTTCGACCAACTATGCTGTATGGGACTGAGTGTTGGCCAGTCAAGAACTCCCACGTGTAGAAGATAAAAGTAGCAGATGAGGATGTTGAGATGAATGCGTGGGTGTACCAGGAGAGATAAGATTAAGATGAAGCTATTCGTGACAAAGTGGGAGTAGCCTCCATGGAGGAAAAGATGCGGGAGTCGAGGATGAGATGGTTCGGACATGTTAAGCGGAAAAGCTATGATGCTCCCGTTAGGAGGTGTGAGAGGTAGGCCATGGCGAGTTTAAGAAGAGGTCGAGGTAGGCTAAGAAGTATTGGGAAGCGGTGATTAGGCATGACATGGTGCTGCTTCAGCTCACTAAGGACTTGACCCTTGATAGGAGGGTGTGGAGGTCGAAGATTATGATAGAATGTTAGTAGGTAGTTTCTTAGTTGCTCACTGATAGTATTAGTAGCACGCGTGTCCTTTCATATTCTTTCGCGTTATTTGATTTTGTTCGCCTAAGATATTATATTCCCTATTGTTATATTGGTACTACTTATCCTTTATCTCCCTCTTTTCTTCTCTTCCTTTCTTGCTTTTGTCCTCCTTCTCCTCCTCCTCCTCCTCCTCCTCCTCCTCCTTCTTCTTCTTCTTCTTCTTCTTCTTCTTTCCGAACCGAGGGTTTATTGGAAACAACCTCTCTACCTGCATTAGATAGGGGTAAGGTTTGCATAGACTACCCTCCCCAGGCCCCACCTGTTGGGAATATAATGGGTCTGTTGTTGTTGTTAATTAACGTACTCATGAATATAAAAATAAAAATGTTCTAAGCTCACATGACTATTGACAAAAAATTTTGTCCAAAACCAGCAAGTATCAACCCATATAGAGAAAAAAAGATACATAAATAAATAATTCAATCATTAAAAATATCTTGTTACTTGCTTAGAGCTAATCCAACATATGCAAATCAATGCACGAGAAGAAACACCATAAGAACGTAAAAGTATACGTTAAGATACTTGGCATCCTAGAGAATACGAGTCAAAATCTGCAGCCTACCTTGTTCATCTATTTTCCTAAAGAAGTACGTTGGTTTTACCGCCAGCCTCAACATGCATACCAAAGAAAAGTATTATGTAACTTAGTATGTCATAATCAATAATATGTGTACCATGCAACTTATTATATATTTCGGTATTATTTTTATAAATACCAAATACCATACTTAATATTAATTTTTTAAAAGCTTAAACTAAATACTATACCAAATACCAAAATATCGAATACCAAATACTAAAATTTTCGATTTCAATACGATAATTCGATATTTACCAAATTATGCACAGTCCTAATGAATATAACTGAAAATGTTGGTCAGAGATTGCGTGGATTAAGCTAAAAGTGGCAAATATTTAAAACAGAGGAAATAGTGTAATATATATATATATATATATATATATATATATATATATATATATATATATATATATTTCAACTTCTAAATTTACCTTATTGGTTGATTGTTGGTAAAGGAAAAGCGGTATTACATATTTATAAAATCTAAAAATTTTGACATGATAAGAAGATTAACATCTCATAAGTCACCAAATTACACCATTTCAATAATTTACTCACAATCTACAATTAAATATTTCTATTTTTAAATTTTTAATAAAAGTTATTGTATAGCAAGTAGAAAAGGAAAGAGATGAAGAATCATCAGCCAAAACACATGGTCCCCTCAAATAATTCCCCTGTTACCACGACAAAACAACTCACAGTCACAGACTTAACGCCGTTCAGACTAATGATCCGAAAACGACAAGCGCGTAGGCTAACAGATTACAAGTCCCCGTCAAAACGGAAAGACTAAAAAGCATCAGGGCCCCACACGTGAACGGCCCAGTCTAAGGTCAGCCGCTCATAAAATATGAATATCAAACTAGACGGCCTAACCAAATATCCCTTTAACAAATCCCCACTTGCACATCATATCACGTACTCACACGCCTCTCATAGAGAAACACCCAGGGAAACCACCATATCTATAAGGAAAAGTTGCACTCTTCGTCCCTCAAAAATTCACAAATTTTGATTCCATCCTCGTGTTATTTGACTAATAGTTTGGCCAAGGTTTTTTTTGGGCCACAATTGCTTTGTTTTTTTTTTTGGCCGAAAGTACTTTTGGCCAAAAATTGAGGTATTTGGCCAAGCTTTTAGATGGAGAAAAGTGATTTTGAGGAGAAGCAGAAGTAATCTTTGAGTAGCAGAAAAAAGTAGCTTCTCTCCAAAAGTACTTTTCTTAAAAGCACTTTTGAGAAAAATACACTTAGAAGCAGTTTTCAAAAGCTTGACCAAACACTAATTACTGTTCAATAGTGCTTTTCAAATTAATTAGTCAAACACAAACTGCTTCTCACAAAAACTTTTTTGAAAAGTAATTTTAAGAAAAACACTTCTCAAAATAAGCTGATTTAGAAGTTTGGCCAAACATGCTATAAGTAAATTTAATATTCAGTTAATTCAAATGTATACTTTTAATTCCTATATTTGTGAATTTTTATAAATTTAACAAATTATGTATCATCAAAATAATTCGACTACCAATGTTGTGATAACTTTGAAATTTTACTTCATATCTGATGGTAATATAATTTTTAAAATAATCTTAATATGGAAACAACTTCTCTATTCCTTCAGGGCAAGGGTAAGATCTGCGTACACTTTAGCCTCCCCAAATTCCACTAATGTGGTTCTACTGTGTTGTTGTTGTTGTTATAGTCTTAATATATATATATATATATATATATATATATATATATATATATATATATATATATATATATCCTATATTGAAGTGGTCAAAATGCACATTTTAAAGGATCAAATTTAAATATTCTTAATTATATGTTCAGAATTAAAAAATTTCAATAATTGAGGGACTAAATTTGCTATTATCTCTAAATATAATCTATCAATCCCCTATTCTTCTCCTCCTCTTGGATATATAAATCTCTCATCTCCATACCCATTTCTCATTGAAACAAAACCCTCAATTACAGAGCAGAAATTTAGAAGAAAAAAGAGAGAATTTAGTTCTCTCTCTTTCCTTTATATAAGGAATCGAAAATACCCAGGAAGAAGAAACCTTTTTTCTTTGTCAAGTTTCCATTTTAACACCCCTTTAAGGTCTTAAGAACCTTAAACTTTTTTTCCTCTGTAAAAAATCCTTCCTTTTCTAAATATTTATTTTTAAAAATGGGAACAGAAGTATTGAGGCCACAAAATTGTTTGAGAGAACCTCAGGCAGCGATGGTGTTTCATCGCCGGAAAACCGGAAATGGGTATTATAACAACTATGGCTACCGGAAACCGGTGGTCAGAACGGAGAAGAAGAAATTGAACAACAAGAGTCAGAACCAGAATAAAGCCGAGCCGTTGATTTCGAGGAGATCGTCGGCCGACGGTGGAAACGTGACGATTTTAAGAAGGGGCGATTCGTTGGATTCCCTCAACCCGAAGATCGGGACGGATAAGAAGAAACCTGAGTTCACGGTTTACGGAACCGGAAGATTGGGTCCAGAGGCGCCGAAGCAAATTCGGGTTGGGTTTTCTCCTGCCGACATGTACGCCGGATCAGCAGCGTTCTCGAATTCGCCGTCGCCGAGATCACTTCCTTTACCTTCTTTTTTCAACAGCAAAAAGCAAGTAGAGTTCAAGTCGTTTGATGATTCTGCCACCAGAGATTTAAGGCGGTTGCTCCGACTTGAGTAGTGGATCCAAACCCGTTTTCGCCTGAATTATTATCACTTAATTATGAATTAGTTGGGAGGGACTATATATAAATTCTTAGTCTCTAATTAGTTTAAGTTTGACTATGTTATAAATCTTCAAAATTCGCGACTAAATTCTCAACTTTCTGGAATTTCAGTTTCTCCGTGGATTTTTTTGGACATGGAGAAATGAAAAGGTCTGAAATTTGAGAAAATTAGATGCAAAATGCGAATAATTTCTTCTAGTTGTTTTTTAATTAATTTAGTAGGACCTATTTAAGATGTATTTATGTAAAACTGGGGGATTAAGTATGGAAGGGTTATTGTATTTATATGGGAGGCGAAGGGAAGGAGATTGAAGGAAGGGCAGTGAAGAATTAAGTAGTATGGTTAAATATTATATTGTTGGTGTATGGTTATGACTAATGATGTTGATGAATTAGCTTGTAAAGCTTTTATTTTGAACGTTAATGGTTAATAATCAGAAGTATGATTTAGTTGTATAATTCTCTTTGCTCAGCTTTTTTTGTTTTTATATATATATATTGCTTATTTCTTTTAACTTCTGTGTAATTAGCAATAGTGGATAAATCATCTACTTCGAATTTCATGCATGAAAAGGAATAATGGTAGAGAAGAAGCTAATCACAAGAGAAATTCTATTTTTTATGGGTATTAATTTTAGGAGTTAGTGAAAAGAATATTAGAGGAATTCTAATCTCATGAATTTTCGTTTCAATTTGGGTGCTCACCTGTTCATGAATAACAGAGGCCATACATCTTGGTAACGTTTTTTCAAATTTTTTTTGAAAACATTGTTTGTTCATAGATTATAGATCTATTTTTGAAAAAATTTCGAAATTATTTTTTAAGTTCTCAAAATCTAGTTTAGGGTAAATTTTGGGTGAAACTTGTTTTCCCGCTCACAAAACTTCAATTTTTTTTAAAAATAAAATGCATGTCCAAATAATGGATCCGGATCCTAAAAATAATAATGCTTTGGAATAAGCATGAGTAATCAAATGAAATAAAGCGCTTCGATAAGATCCCATACCAAGAGCTATCATAATTTCAACTTCCAAAAATTATTTTTCAAAATTATTTCAAAAATTATTTTTTCAAGTTTCAACTAAATCTATGTCGAAAGGCTAGCTAAAAATTCTTTTGTAACACGGTTCAGAACTTTGTATAAATGTGTTTATTTACATGGATATTTGGAACATAAAGTAATAAGTAAACAAATTGATTTCTTCCTCTCCACATTATTTACTTGAATATTTTGAACGAAGAGTAATAAGTAGACAAATTGTCTCTGCCAGATCATGTCCGAGTGGGATACCTCTACTAATGATAGTACCAGTTTACCTACTTCGTTGCTCCCAATTGTTTCCTACCTCTATTGACTCAATATGGTTTCGTCACTTTCATGTTCTTTCAATGATTGATTATTTTTCTTTCTTTTTTTTCTTGTTTGGGTATCGATTAGTTCACAAGATAAAAGACCAATTCCCCTCAAAAGTAAGCCATGTATTTGAGTTTTAAAAAGTAAGCAAATCTTATGAAATTTATGGTCTTAAATTTGCCTGCCATAAGATTTATGTAATTATAAAATTATTTCGTTAAGAGCAAAATAAAAATTTAAAGTTGAATTGTTTCTAATATTTCCTTTGTTCTAATTTATGTGAACCTATTTGACTGGTCACGGAATTTAAGAAAAAATGAAGACTTTTGAAATTTGTGGTCCTAAACAACTCAAAAAGGGATCCACAGTATTTGTGTGGTTATAAAAGCTTCTCACTAAGGGTAGAACTGAAAATTCAAGCTAAATTATTTCCAAATTTGAAAAGGGGTCATTCTTTTTATAACGGAGCAAAAATGAAATAGGTTCACGTAAACTAGAACAGAGGGAATATGTCATTTTTATAGCATATTAAAATAAAAACTAAAACACATAAAATAGAATAATGAAATATAAAGTATTCGGAGTAATCAAGCGGTGTATAAGTTGGTTCGGATATCGTAGCTATAATAAAATATAGTAATAAATATGGTGATATTGTGCACCAGAATGATTACAATAAATTAGCAGAGGAAGGAAGTGAGGGGCATTATATGCTTGAATGATAAAATTAATGGCAATGGGGTTAGGGTGTTGTGGGGCAAGGCCGGTGCCCAATGACCGGTCGGTATTGACTTGTTCCATAAAATGAACATGATGCGTTTTCGTCCACAAATTGATAATGTATGGTAGATGCCTACCTCCAAGACAAAGAAAACTCCAATCAAAAACCCTATCTTTGAGACTGTAGTGCAATTGCCTGGCAACATCTTAGCCGACCATTGCCTGTTCAAATAATAAATCAATCATATCCTCGTATCATAGTATAGTATAAGTGTAAAAATTTTTACCTTGAATTAATTTACTAAAATGTTCGTGAAAAATTGAATACCTATTTATCCTCAATCAAATATTATATCTACAATATATTCATACAAAAAAAAGTAAATACACATTATTGCAAACTTATGAAGCTATCGCTATCTGTTCTAATAACGTGGATTATTGATGATAAGTCATATAAAAAGTCATTTTAACCGCTATATAATCTATATATCTATATAAAAGTGGACAATAAAAAAATGAGGTTGCACCTCTTTTAAGTCAAGAAACACATTTATCTTTTTTCTCCTTTTTCATTTATTTTATATTAAAAATTCTATCTTCATAACTCACGCCTCTTTATCTTCATAACCTATATCTTTAATAATCTCAATAACTTTCATGCCTTTCATATTCATAACCTCTAAATATTTAATATGTAAGTTTATGACAATTTATTATATGTTCCTCCATATGTACCTATATAAGGACTTCTATGTTTTGAACAAATATGATTGATACTAACTTTATATTTTACTTATAATGGTTTAAGCTATCTCTATGTCAAAGGCTGTAGTGGAAAAGAAAAATTATACTAAGATATGGTATGATTTCTATTCTTTGTTTTTTGTTTAAGGTAAATGCACGAAGATATTCCATACATGTGTGAATCTTAAGAAGAATGTTTAAGAGGAAGTGCCAAATAATGAGGTGAAGATCAAAGTAAAGCGTATTTCACAATTCTCATTAATGGTCTTTGTTTTTGTATCTTTAGGTTTATGTTGTATAAGTTGAAGTAGTGATTTTTTTTCAAATAATAATAGAGATTTTGATATCTATTTTTTGTTGTATATATTCATACTCTACAATTGCAATAACTTTGAGTTGTGATTTTCTCGGATATCGAAGTGAGATTCTAATGAGTTTTTCTTTTCCTGTTATATATAGATTAATCATTTTTATATATATATTTTTCTATACGTTCTTAATTCTTTTTGCCTCTATTTCTTTTCTTCAATGAACTTTTTTGAATTGTTTTTCCTTTTCTGAAGTTGTTTCTCTTCTAACACTCCTTAAATTTTCTTCAAATGGGTTTTGTAAATTTCTTTCCATGTTTTCATAATACTCAAAGATTTATTTATTTTTGCTGTTCAAAAGAAAAATAAAGAAACCAAAGAAAATAAGAATGAGATCGAAAGAAGAATGACCACACAAAGTGTGATGACCCAAAAGGTCATCTGGTATTTTAGAACCCAATTCGGGGTTCCGAGGCCTTCAAAACCTCATTTTAGTTCTCCTCAATTTGTGCGCAGTCCGGACGCATTCCCGGAAAGCCTTTATGTGGAAATTTGAGAAAATAATAATTTTTGCCTTTAAAAGTTGATTTTAGTTGACTTCGGTCAACGTTTTGAGTACACGGACAAGGGCCCGTATTTTGACGGTCCCGGAGGGTCCGTAGTAAAATATGCGACCTTGGCGTATTCACGACCCACAAACCGACCCAGTCGTGATGGCGTCTATCATGGAACTAGGCCAGCCACTTATTTTCGATTACTCTATTTTTCAATTTAAAAGCTTAAGAAAATATCATGTTTTAACAAAAATTCAATGATATAAAAATAAAAGTTCCAAAACCAGCGGAAAGAAAATACAAGCCCGACCTCGGGTGTCACTTGTCATGAGCAAAAACTACCACAACTGTTCGAAATAACAAGGCTAGTACAGTCTGAAAATATCCAACATATAAACTAGAGGAAGGTAGGGAAGGAGAAGGCAGAACTGCGGTCGCCAAGCAGCCACCTCGAAATCTCCAAGTGAAAGTCCGTACAATATAATCAGCAGCCATTACCGTGACTCGAGACACCTAGATCTGCACACAAGGTGCAGGGGGTAACGTGAGTACACCAACTCAGTAAGTAACAAGTCCAACCTATGGACTGACAGGTAGTGACGGACCAAACCTCAACAGGTAATAACATATATCTGAACAGGAAAAGTAGGCATCCTTACAATTCAAGTAAAGTTCGATAGTATTTAAATGCATCTGAACAGTACTAAGTTCAAAACTCAGAGATTTTACATATACCAATGCACAACTAGCATGATCAATGTTCCACGAACCTCCACTCACAAGTGCTCAACCCCTCGGTGCTGTATATGGCCATCCGGCCCAGGAAAGATCCATCCCGAAATATACATCACTGACCGCAGTCATCCAGTACCGAGGACACAGGCCAATCCAGCCTCACGGAGAAGATCCATCTCCCGGTATAATACTTCGGACAAGATCCATATCCAGAGAAGATCCATCCCTCAATATCATCATCTGCGCTCATTGGGCGTATAAAGACTCCGGAGGGGCTTCTCTCATTAGCCCAAGTGCTATAACAAAGCCAACGAAGGCTTGTTCAATATCTCGCTACGGTGTGCAGCCCAATCTCATACTGTCACTCAATAGCAGGCTCTCGGCCTCACTCAGTCATAACTCACCAGTCTCACATACGGGCTCTAAATGTCATGATACTAGCTCGGTCAACAATAAAATATGGCAAATAGTAATAATCGAGATTGGGACAAGATATAATATGCATGAAAAGGACTAAGTACACAATATCAATAAA